AAAAAAATTAAAACATATATATTAAAATTATTTCAACAAATGGAAAAAAAAAATTGAATAGATAATAAAATTTGAACAGATCTATTCAAATTTTGAGTAGATAATAGCTTGGTGTATTTCAATAACAAAAATTTGAACAAATAAAAAATTAACAAAAAGAATTTAAGAAAAAAATTGAAATAAGAAATTTGGACAGATATGTGAAAAAATTGAACCAATAATAATATTTGAGCATATATTTAAAAAGATAAAAGAACAAATTTGAACAGATAAAGAAGAAAGTGAACAGATAGAAAAAAATTAAACACATAGATAAAAAATTGAACAGATAGAAAAAAATTTAAACAGATAGATAAAAAATTTGAATAAATAGAAAATAAGTTGAACAGATATATATATATATATATATATATTTGAATATATAATAAAAAAAGTCAACAGATAAATTAAGGAGTAAAATTGAAAACAAAATGTCTTATAAAATAAATAAAAGGACTTCTCACCAAACTACTTCATAAATGGTGGACCTTTCATCAACAAAAATATTCACTAGACCTAATATCTTATAGTCTCTTTAAATTGGATCTATCACCAATTTACTCTTGATTAAATGCGCTTTATATATTATTTTTAGTGTTTAAAACTATATATGACACGGTTTTTATTATAAAAATAATAAATAAATAAATAATAATAAACTATTTTAGAGTATATTTTTAAAAAAAAAATCAAATTTATTGGGTTTCAATTAAAGGGAATTTTTTTTAATAAATTTGCACATATTTTTAAGTATTTTTACATATTTTATTTACTTTTTATTGGGAATTTTTTATTTTTTTATTAAAATATAAGGTAAAAAAAATAGTATATTTAATATGAATTTTTAATTTTTTATGAAAAGATGTGCAAAAGGTAGAGAAAAAATAAAATTTTTAAATTTTTTTATATAATTTGTTGATTTTTTGACTTTTTTTTTTAATGATTTTTTTACTTGTAGACTAAACGAGACCTGAGTACTCTGATTAACAATTTTTATTTTAATTATTTTTTATAAATAAGTCAACTGTAAATAACATTATCTAATAAAAAAACAGTTTTTTGGTTCTAAAATAAGAAAAACCTCACAGGCCTTGATCTATTTGGGTTGTCTCATGAACCTCACAGTCATGCGAGACATTTGATTATTTTTTTGATAAAAAAATTAATATTTCCATCATTACTGAAGTAATTATGGTTCAACATAGTTTTGTAGGAAGGTACTTACATCATAAAATAAAAAATAAAAATTTATTCAATCGTTTTGCTTTTGTTTTTATTTTTTTTAGCTGGGGATTCAATAGATTCGTTTGGGATGTTGATTGACTTTTTAACTTTTTAATTATTTTAGTTTGGGGCTAAAATAACTTCGTTTGGGATTATTTTTTTTTATTACTTTTATGACTTTTGTAAAAAAAAAAAATAATTATAATTTAGATGTAATAACTTTTAACCTTAGACTAAAAAAACTTATTTTATCTTTTTATAACTATTTTAATCCCGACCCATCCCAACCTACCTGCCAAAGCAATATAATGTGTCTGTTAATGACGTTTGCTAGGCATCAATTAATAATTTTATTTTATATATTAATACACTTTTTATATATTTTAATGCGGTAGTGTTACATATACCAATTAATATATTAATATACTAATTAGTACATATAATATTATTCATTTTCATATGTACATAGACTTTAATTACTATAGTGGTATTGGATTTTATGTGACTTGAGAATTGCGACTTAAAAGGATTGATGAGTTTGTAATCCAAAAGTTAGAATGGAGGGTTGAATTTAGGCAATTTTGAACCCGCTTTAGGTCCTTTTTATTGATTCAAATTGTCATTTTTTAGTGCTTCTCAAGTGAATCCCCCATATAAAAAATAAAATTAATTAAATATTGATAATCACATATTCAATTTATATTTGTCATTAAACCAATATATATAGTAAGTATTATTTTAAAAATAAATTGTTCATTTTTAAGAGAAATTATGACATAAACATGTGGCTATTGTTAAATGATAACTTTTATTTATTTATTTATTAATAATCTGTTCGAGAGATATTAAAATTAAATATTTTCAATCAACAAAAATAGATTTAAAGTGAGTCTAAAATCACCTAAATTGGAGAGTATGAATCTTTAGGTTATTTTTTTATATGACTATTATGAGTTTTAACTTTTATTTATTTTATATTTACTGGTGGTTTGAGGTTTGTTTATTTAATAATTTTTGTATTTTTTACCCAAAAAAAAAATGTAAAAAGATGGAGAGATTATGTAATAACTTACAACAAATAAATAAATAGGAGAAATTTATCACTGCAACCTTTCAAATGATACACTTCGTAAAAAAATTATGATATTTTATGATGAACGTTATGATTGTTTATAATGTATATTATGATATTTTGTAGTAAAGTTATAAATAACGAATTTATTATATACACCCTAAAGTTAAGAATGATAATGTTATAATATTTTATAATTTTTGTTATGACACTTTGAGATTTTGTCATGATATTTTTCAACGAAAAAAAGTTATACTTTTTATAGTGAAAAAGTTATAGCATCTTGTGTTTAAGTTATAAATTTTTGTAAAAAATTATGAAAAACATCATATATATCATTTTGAGGATGCACATTGTAATATCTCCCAAATAAATAAGTTACTTATTTAGATTGTTACCTTAATTTTTGTAAAATTAAATTTTAATTATTTAAAAAATTATTTTAAAATTATCATAAGAAAAATTTAATTGATCCAGTACAAATTATCTAGTGCCGGAAGCTTCATAGATCTATAGTGGGTGGAGATCTGATCAGAAATCACAAGTGGACGGTGTGAGGTCTCATAAAGGAATTTTTTTTATTATATTTTAATAAACTGAATCGTTCATATTATAAAGTTTATTAGTTATATCATCAATATGCAACATTAAGTTAATCGGACATTTGTAACCCAATGATCAAGTCCTAATTATTTTTAAAAAATTATTGAAATCAAATTAATCATTTATTTTTTAAAAAATAAATGTGCTCTTATCAAGAGGCTAAAGATCTCCAATTTACTTTATGTATTGTTCAAATGTTCTATTCGATGAACCTTATAATATCAACTATTCAAGTTATTAAAAAAAACACAAGACATGCCCTTAATAGGCCGCAGAGCAGCCTGCTATGCCTTATGGCACAACAGGAACCCCCAATTCGCGACGTCGGTCACCACGTTGAAGGCAGAATCAAATGCCACTGCCATCTCTCCACGTGTCCCTCTCATTTCTCCCCTTATAAAATGCTGTCCACTCCTCCTCCACCCATATTAACTTCTCTCTCTCTCTCTGTAGCCCAAACCCCTTTGAATCCAAATCTTCTGTTTTTTTCCCACTGACAGTCGGGGCTTTGAATCCAAATCTTCTGTTTTTTTCCCACTGACAGTCGGGGTTGTTTTGAGAAGATGGTAAAAAGTAATTTTTTGACTTTTAATTAAGTTTTTGACTTTTTTAGATAAATGATTTGGGAAGTTGGTAAAAAGTGACTTTTGATTTTTTTTGATTAATGTTTGTTTATGATGTCAAATTATAATAAAATGACCAAACTACCCCCATTTATTTAAAATATTTACAACTTCACCTATGTAATACATTTTGACCATGAGGGTAAAATTGTAATTTCACCGTTGGCTAAAAACCAACTTCCCAAATGAAAAAAAAGACAAAAAAACTAACTTTTAACTTTTGCTACAAATCAAAAAAAATGACTAAAAGCCAACTTCCCAATATAGCCCCTAGTTCACTATTTGACACAGTTTCTATTATTATCCTTCTTCTTCTTCTCAGTTGCAATTCGTTTATTCAAATCCCTTCAGAAACTCCCCAAAAAACACAAGTAAATAAAAGTGACCAAGATATGGGTCGTTTATGGACGTTGATCACCCATGTTCACGCACTTGCTGGGTAATTTTTGCTTTTTAAAACTCCATTTGTTTAGAATAAAAATATTTTTTTATATTTGGTAGTGGTGGTGATAGTGGTGATAGAAAGGTGGAAGTCGAGGTGATGGAATGGTGGTGGGACGATGGTAACAGTAATGGTGGCGGTGGTGGTGGTGTAGTGCTATTAGTAAAATTTTATTTCTAATTCGAAAAATATTTTTTACTTTTTAAGGTTCCGTTTGTTTAAAGTTATAGAGAGGGGATTGTAATTGATAGTGAGGTAGAATTTACAATCTTTGTGTTTGTTCTAGGCGATAGAGAGTAGATTCGTAATTCCCTTCGGATTATGAATCCCCTTGGGGAGGGGATTTTGATGGGTCTCCAGCACTTGATATTAGAAAATAGTCCGCCAGGCTATTTTTTTATTTTTTATTTTTTACATGTTGGGCATTTTTTTTTAACATTAAGGTTTAATATTTTTATATTTTTTTGTTAAGTAAAAACCAATTTTATTTGTTTCATTTGTTTTATATTTTATTTTTTTACATGTTGGGCATTTTTTTTTGAATATTAATGTTTAATGTTTTTGTATTTTTTTTTATTTGTTTTATTATTGTATATTTATTTTATATAAAAATAATTTAACAATTCTCACACCAACAACTATTATCAAAACAAACATAATTTTACTTAATTCCCTCACTATAAATCTTCTACATTTCATCTCTAAAAGCAAACGAGACTAAATATGAAAATATTAATATTTTAAGATACTTATTTTTCATTCATTCATTTTTATTTTTCATTATATTAAAAAATCAAACGGGGTAGAACTCCATCTACATGTTGTTTATCAATTTTTTTGAATTTAGTGATCTAATTTTCGTTTTAATTTGTGAATTATCCATGCTGGCCAGTTACGATGCTGCTGTACCCCTTGTAAGTTTATTACTTTTTTTTATTTATTTAAATATTTTCAAGTTATAAATAATTATAGCTGGCTTCGACCAACCCATCCTACAATGGGATATAATCCTCACTCTCATGGAGATGCTCCTCCAACTCATCCTACAATGGTATATAATCCTCATAACAAAATTAGTTGTAAATATATCTATATAGATTAATAAGTTAATAACTAGTTCAACTTGATGATTATAAAATAAAATTAATTACGATTAGATCCTCTTAATTTTTAATGAATGTATCATCTTACATCCCTCACCATTTATAAATTTATATATATTGACCAATCGATTATAAAAATCATATAAACATTGCTTTAGAGTGATGTGATACATATTTACTACTAGATTCACTAAGGTTTTGATGTAATTAACCTATAAACTATAAGAAAGTAAAAATTATGGATCCCAAAATAGTAACTCAAAAAGTTTACGAATGGAAATTTTGAAAATACGTGTATTATATATTATATTTAGGAGTATAATAAGTTCATTTTAAGATCGATATTTGCATTATATTTAGGAGGATGATATACAAGTTCACCTTTTAAATCTTAATTCTCACATCATTGGACTTAAAAGTGAGTTTTAGACTGGAATAGTAATGCTCTTATATTTATTAGAATGAATCTAGGCTATAAATTTTTCTTTTTGATAAATTTTTAAATATATGTATTTTTTTTTCAGATTACGTAATAATTAATCTTTATTAGAATGAATCTAGGCTATAAGTTTTTCTTTTTGATAAGTTTTCAAATAGATGTATTTTTTTTTTCAAATTATGTAATTTATTTGAAAAAATACATGTATGTGGAAACTTATCAAAAAACAAAATTTATAGCCTAGATTCATTCTAATAAATATAAGAGCATTGTTATTCCACTCTAAAACTCACTTTTTAAGCTCAATGATGTTGGAATTAAGGGCGGGCCTGGCATAGCAGTAAAGCTACCCCTTGGTGACTTGGTGGTCACGAATTCGAGTTGCGAAAACTGTCTCTCTGTTTGCAGGAATAAGGTTGCATAAATCAATCTTTTCCCAGATCCCGCTTAAACGGGAGTTTTGTACACTGGGTATGCTTTTTTTTATGTAATAATAATTATTTTTTCAAATTATGTAATTATGGATTTGGCTTTTAATATTGTAGGATACCAATATGGTATGATATAAAGCTAGCATTTGTGGCATGGTTGGTTCTGCCACAGTTCAGGGGTGCAGCTGTCATATATGAGAGGTTTGTGAGAGAGAAACTCAGGAAATATGGAGCAATAGATCCTCACCACAAGTCTCCCAATGGCAAGAGCAAGGGCAAGAACAAGTTTGTGGACTTTATTACCCCCAAGGAAGTGAGCTAAATTCCACTCATAAATCTTTTATTTTCCCTAAAGTTTGTTCTTGTTTTAATTTTAATTTTTTCATGTGTAACTTTAATTTCTATCTGTGAATGTTTAATGGGAAATGCGGGGAGAGCACGAGGCTTATTGAAGAAGAAAGGAGGAGAGGGTTCCACACTTTTTCCACTAAGGGCTTGTTTGGATTTCCCTGTTTCTAACGTCACCCTTTTTCTTTGCTTTGGTCTTTTGTACTAATCTCAACCTTTTGTACAAGTTTGCAAGACACTTTTAATTTGTAACTGTTTCATCGACTTATAACTAATCAGACAAGTGTATGGCTATAATCTTTGATATCACAATCCTTGAGAGAAATTATGCCGTGGTCTTGCGCCAAATTCTCATGCCTTAACTTGATATTTATTTATTAGAGTTTTAGGATTTAGTATTTTTTTGTTAAAATGATGCATGTTAATGTAAATTGTAAATAGTAAATCACCACTACCACCCACTCCACCTACCACCTCCACTACCACCCACTCCACCTACCACCTCCACTACCACCTTCACCTACTCCCAAATCCTCTCCTATATAAATCCTTGTAATATACACAATATACACATCAATCAATCATACAACAATATCAATCAATAATATCAATAATCAATACATAATTCATTCTCTCTGTATCTCTCTCTATCAATTTATCTTACAATGCATATTATGGAATAATATTCTAGACCATGTATAATCTTTGAAATGTTTCTTATAACTTTTTTTTTTTTTTTGGTAAAAAAAATAATAACACCTTCACTCCGCCGCTCTCTCTCTCGGCAACTCTCTTTTCTGGGGCAAAACCCAGCTTGTTTTTTTTCTCCAACAAAGCTCCGCCACTGTACACTGTCCCTCATTTCACTCCTCGCGTCCGTCTTCTTTCTCGATTTCTAGAGAGAGAAGATCGATAGATATATCACCATAATCTCATCTACATGTTCGGCCAGGACCACAAGGATCTCCAACGCCGAATCGCCCCCAATTTCAACCCTGGCCGCTGACTGTCCTCATCACGTCGCTCCTCCAGCGATGCTGCCTTTCCTCCTGTACCACCAACCATCACCGTCGTGATTCACCGTCGCTGGTGCATCGCCATCACCGGCGCCAACCTTTTCATCTCACCATCATCTTCTTCTCCATTTCACTCAAAGACAGCTCTACTGGTTGCGTTTATCCTGCTAGCGCTAGTTCCACTAGCACTAGTACATCTCCGGTGAGCCACACACCCTCATCCTGCCACCCCAGGCTCTTCGTCGCCGACCTCGCCCTTGGGGCTTCCCTCTGCCTTCAGGGACTCTGGGTGCTTCAGACCGGCCTCTCTCTCTCCGTCGCTGCCTTCATACCTGAAGGATGCCACAAGCTTCTCGACGTTGTCCGCGGCGTCGACGGTTCCACCAAGTGCGATTTGGACGACTCCAAGCTCAGGGCCGTCGCAATCCTCGATCTGATGTTTGTCCTTCACAATGGACAACAACCCCCATGCCTTCTCTCTGGCTAAACATATCATATCACCCACTCAAACATTTTTAATATTTTTACTCCACCCACTCTCTCTCTCTCTCATTCTTTTTTTGAAACACACTTTATTCCTCTCTCATCCATTCACGCTTTACACACCACACCACCCCCACTTTCTTTTTTTTTTATTATTTTATTTTAGCCCACATAAAATAAAAACCACCTAGGCCAATGGGGATAAAAATTGAGGTGGCTTTGTAACTCGTGAAGGTAGCAGACCATGTGTATTGTGCTTTAGCTTAAAAGGTGTAATCACCGTGCGTGAGTGGTCACTTGGAATTATATTCATTTGTTAAAAAAAAAAAAAAAAAAAAAGACGGACTGCACACCAAACTCATTTTATTCATATCGGGGCTCACCCCGATCACCATTTTACACCACAAAAAAAAAAAAAAAACAAAAAAAAAAAACAAACAAACCAAACAAAAACAACCACACCCACAGTGGGCTTTTTCTTTTCCCTTCTCTACTCCACTGCAGGTCTCTTCTTCTTACTTTTATCTTGGGTGTCCCGTGCCAGTCCGGTCTCAGTACTTCCTTGTCCACCAAGCCCGTTGCCTCCTCCCTGCTCCTCCACTACAGCATATGGTGGACCTCCAAATCGGAACATCACGGTGGCCTTCCGCTTCAGCTCCTTGTTTTCTGCCCTTAGCACGCTTATCTCTGCTCGCGCATCCTTATACATGCGTTGGAGCAGAGCCAGTTGGGCGTTTAATTGCTGCACCTCATTTGTCCTACTCTGCAGCCGGTGCGACAAGTTTGTGACCGCCGTCATGGACTCCACACATGCCTTCAAAGTATACTGATTCGCCTCCACATCCGTTTGCACTGCCATTTTTTGCTCCACCGACTGCATCGGAAAGTTCAACGGAGCAAACCCAGTGGTGTTTGGTTGAGGTTCACGGGACACCGCACCAATTATTTCTCTTGTGGACTCGTTGAGGTCGGGAAAGAGAGTAAGCAGAGGGCGGGACGAAGAGGCCATTTTCTGGGCAACAGAGTGTTACAGACTATCTCTCTCAGCAAAAGGAACTATCTCTCTCAGCAAAACGAAGAGTTTTTTTTTTCAGAGTTTTTTTAGCGGGTTTTCTGCCTCAGCCTCAGCCTCCGCTTCGATTTATAAAGACCTTGACGAAGAGGCAGACACGCGCATCATGCGCCGCTCGGCGCTCGCCTTTTTCATGGCACGCCTTTTGATGCATTTGGGCACGCCTTTTGATGGCACGCCTTTTGAGGGTGCGGGCACACCTTTTGAGGGCACGACTTTTGAGGGCTCGATATCTACATCCATGTATATCTTTTGGGCAGCCTATATACACACTCATACAGTGTCTTCTACACCGGTCAGCTTTATCAATCCCTTTGTTTCAACCTCAAATAGGTTTCTATCTTCACACCTATTTGAGTTTGAGGGGGGGTTATACCACAGTATCATGTATAAGTCGCTCATGGCGCACTCCCTAAGTCACCCCCTTGGTGCACCACCACAACCTTTCTACAACGGTCCGACATGACCCCATAAACTGTCCCGACATTGATTCCGGTCAGCTGCTACATCGGTCCGACATGACCCCATAAACTGTCCCGACATTGATTCCGGTCAGCTGCTACATCGGTCCGACATGACCCCATAAACTGTCCCGACATTGATTCCGGTCAGCTGCTACATCGGTCCGACATGACCCCATAAACTGTCCCGACATTGATTCCGGTCAGCTGCTACATCGGTCCGACATGACCCCATAAACTGTCCCGACATTGATTCCGGTCAGCTGCTACATCGGTCCGACATGACCCCATAAACTGTCCCGACATTGATTCCGGTCAGCTGCTACATCGGTCCGACATGACCCCATAAACTGTCCCGACATTGATTCCGGTCAGCTGCTACATCGGTCCGACATGACCCCATAAACTGTCCCGACATTGATTCCGGTCAGCTGCTACATCGGTCCGACATGACCCCATAAACTGTCCCGACATTGATTCCGGTCAGCTGCTACATCGGTCCGACATGACCCCATAAACTGTCCCGACATTGATTCCGGTCAGCTGCTACATCGGTCCGACATGACCCCATAAACTGTCCCGACATTGATTCCGGTCAGCTGCTACATCGGTCCGACATGACCCCATAAACTGTCCCGACATTGATTCCGGTCAGCTGCTACATCGGTCCGACATGACCCCATAAACTGTCCCGACATTGATTCCGGTCAGCTGCTACATCGGTCCGACATGACCCCATAAACTGTCCCGACATTGATTCCGGTCAGCTGCTACATCGGTCCGACATGACCCCATAAACTGTCCCGACATTGATTCCGGTCAGCTGCTACATCGGTCCGACATGACCCCATAAACTGTCCCGACATTGATTCCGGTCAGCTGCTACATCGGTCCGACATGACCCCATAAACTGTCCCGACATTGATTCCGGTCAGCTTCTACATCGGTCCGACATGCCACTATATATGTATCATGGTGAGCATGGTTACACATCATGGAACCACCCAAGCCACCCCATGGCGCACTCCCTAAGTCGCCCCCCTTGGTGCACCACCACAATTCTTCTACATCGGTCCGACATGACCCCGTAAACTGTCTGCTACACGGTCCAGCATGACCTCGTAAACTGTCCTGCTACATCGGTCCGACATGACCCCGTAAACTGTCTCTACATCGGTTCGGCATGACCTCGTAAACTGTCCTGCTACATCGGTCCAACATGACCCCGTAAACTGTCTTCTATGACCCCGTAAACTGTTCCTCTACAACGGTCCGACATGACCCCGTAAACTGTCTGCTACACCGGTCCGACATGACCCCATAAACTGTCTTCTACAATGGTCTGACACGACCACACAGTGTCTGCTACAACGGTCCGACATGACCCCATAAACTGTCTTCTACAATGGTCTGACACGACCCACAGTGTCTGCTACAACGGTCCGACATGACCCCATAACTGTCTGCTACATCGGTCTGACACGACCATACCGTGTCTCCTATCCTGTTTTATTTATCAGTTTATTTTTCTGTTTTGTTACTCTCTCCAAACTCAAGTTGGCTAGTACCTATCCTCCTTGAGTTTGAGGGGCTGTTAATGTAAATTGTAAATAGTAAATCACCACTACCACCCACTCCACCTACCACCTCCACTACCACCACTCCACCTACCACCTCCACTACCACCTTCACCTACTCCCAAATCCTCTCCTATATAAATCCTTGTAATATACACAATATACACATCAATCAATCATACAACAATATCAATCATATATATCAATAATCAATACATAATTCATTCTCTCTGATTCTCTCTCTATCAATTTATCTTACAATGCATATTATGGATAATATTCTAGACCATGTATAATCTTTGAAATGTTTCTTATAACTTTTTTTTTTTTTTTGGTAAAAAATATAACTAAAATCGCATAATGTAACTACTTTAAATTCAATGTACCTCCATGGGACGTTAACTTACATGGTGGTATTTTACTTCATAATTTGTTAGTAACCCGATGGGATGATCACATTTGTTTGTAACCTGATTAGGACGTTAACTTACATGGTGGTATTTTACTTTATAATTTGTTAGTAATCTGATGGGATGACCACATTTGTTTGTAACCTGATGGGGTGCTTGACAATGTTTTGAAAACTGGATCAATGAGCGAATCGGAAAAAGATTT